TATATATATATTCACCTTTATTTTAAAATCAAATATTATAGTATATTAAGATGTTAAAAATGGGGTATTTACAATTATACCACAAGATTCTTATTTGTTTACATATCTAACACCAAAAATTCAAAAACTTAACATAAAAAATACCACTCTTACACTAAAGTGTTATAAATGCAAATATCAAACTTTAGGCATTAGACATGTAAATACATAAGAATTATGTGGTCTATATATATGTAAATCTCTCTAAAATAATTATCATTAAAACAAAGATTAATATTATTTATAATAATATTAACAATAAAATATTTTTTATGAAATCAGAGAACATCGAGTATGGTTAGCAAGTAAAATTTATATAATATACGTAACTATAAGATCAATTAAAGATACAAATTCATACTAGTTATAATTATAATCACTACTGAGCATGGAGATTACATTAATCTTTCGTTAGTGTAATAATTTCATCCTAAGCTAATCTATCGATTCCATAACTCTTCGAATATTTTAATGAGGGTAATTAGTATCTTAATCCTCGATAATTGGATCTCTTAATCATAATGCTGGGGAGCACGTGCTCTCATTATTTAGGACGATTAGTTTGACGACAGTGCCATGCTGGCCTTGCACTCTTTTTCTTGTAACAGAACGTGTGATGTCTGTTCATTTCATTCATTCGGAATAATTACTTTTTTTTAATTTAACCTCCTGCTTTTTAATTTTTAATTTTCAATGGTGAGGGAAACTCATTGCATTTGCGCAATAAAGGAGTTAATGATCAATAATTAGGCTATTAAGTAGGTGATTTATTTAATAATAACTTTAATTAAGCTTAATCTGCCCCCTCATTGATGGAAATTTTTTTAAGGACAATATAAAGTTAATATTATAGTGGAAATTTTTTTAATTCAAAGTAAAATAATTTAATTAAAATAATATAGATCAAAAGAAATTTAATTATTATTGTTAATAAAAGATATTATGAAGGAGAAAAAGAATTTTTAAAATATTTGTTGAGTTTCATATTAATTATTAGGAAGATTTACATATATACCACTAAATTTTTATGTATTTACTTATCAAACACCTAGACTTCAATTTTTTTTACCTATATGCCTTTATTTCACTATTTTTTAGCTAAAAAAATGAAATTTTTGATGTGAAAAAATATTTGGGTGGTATAAATGTATAAAGTAAAGTTCAGGTGTTACATAAATAAATACATTGTAAGATGGTATGCATATAAATGCCCCTATTGTTTAAATATATCAAATTGATGAAATATAAATTACTTATGATTTTTTAAAGCCTATCATCCAGCTTCAAGCAATCAAATGAGGCGAGGTTATTGAGCAACTCAAACAAGAAAACTTAAGAACGCAATTTTTCTACTAATACTGTCAGATATTGACCATGAAATAGCGAATTTTACAATCGAAGGAAAAATTGTAGCCATGGCTTTTTACAAATGTGCATCTTTAATACTATTTCTTATTTTTTTTACATTTATTATACCAACGGAATCTTTCATATCACAAAAAGTATCACAAGTTTTAACTATAATGAGTGATACACTTTTTCATCCATAAATAAGGTGGCATTGTATATAATACCGACACAAATCTGAAAGAGAACAAACGACCAAGAGAAAATGGTATCTTTTCGGTGTAAGCAATCAACCGATGATCTAGGGCTGAGCATGAAGTTGTATCTCCAAACCCGGGATAGGTTCAAGCAGAGGAGATGGTTCCACGCTTGATAGCAGCAAGACCCGTAAAAAACGATGCGTGAATCGTCCAGGTAATGAGTCTCATCGGATATCTCGCGTGGGCTACGGCAATGTCCGCTTAAGTGCTTGTAGTATTGGGAGATTCAACCGAGGGTACGTACCACCACACATACACCTCCAATACCTCCACACACCAATAGACACCACACAGATAACGCCAACACCTCCAACACCTTCACACACCACCCACACAAACTCCACACCCCACCACACACACACCTCCACACACCACCACACAGAGACACCTCCAACCCCAACAACACCTCCACACACCACCAAACACCTCCAACGCTACCAACACAAACACCTCCACACCCAACCACACAGACTCCACACCCAACCACACATACAACTCACACGCCACCACACAGACTCCACACACCACCAAACACTACACAAACACCTCCAACACCACCAACACCAACACCAACACCAACACTTCCACACATTGCTATCAACAGATCACAAACACCGCACACACTGCCATACAGACTTCACACACCACCAAACACTACACAGACACCTTCACCACCTCCAACGTCTCCATCAAACACCACCAGAAACCAAAACCTCCAAGACCAGCATCACCACATCCACACATTCCATCAAAGTATAAATCTGTCTACCACCTCCACACATTGCTATCAACAAATCAAGCACACCCTTTCAGTCCTTTCTCAAATTCTCACTCAAACACCAACGATAAAGGCAAAACCTTAACCCACATTTTGCATATACTGCAAAGTACATACAGGGCACCCAAAACATTGTAATCAACCCACCAAGCACCCTCCTTCAACCATTTCTTAAATTTTCATTGAAACACCATAGTTAAAGATGAAACCACATTCCATCAGCCACACATTCGCAAAAACAGAAATCTAAATCATAAAGAGAAAGCCACAAATTACAAAATCAAAATTTTCACTTCACACAGCAAATGAGAAAGCCACAAAACGCATTTGACCACCACCACCACACATTACTACAACAAATGAAGCACCTTCTTTCAGCCATCTCAGATTCTCACTGAAACACCATAACTAAAGAAAAAATCTCATTCCATCAGCCATACCATGAACAAACCAACCACCCACCCTCAACCATTTCTCAAATTCTCAGTGAAACACCAAAGGTAAAGATGAAACCACTTTCCATCGACCACACATTCGCTAAAACAGAAATCCAAATCATAAAGATAAAGTCGCAAATCACAAAATCAAAATTTTCACTTCAAACCGCAAATGAGAAAGCCACAAAAAGCATTTGACCACCACCACCACACATTACTATCAATAAATGAAGCACCCTCTTACAGTCATATCTCAAACTCCCATTGAAACACCATAGCTAAAGAAAAAACCCCATTCCATGAGCCATACAGAGCAACGAAAACATTGCTATGAACAAACCAACCACCCTCTTTCAACCATTTCTCAAATTCTCACTGAAACACCATATATAAAGATGAAATCACATTCCATCAATCACACATTCATAAAAAATCGAAATCCAAATTATGAAGAGAGAGCACAAATCACAAAATCTAAATTTCCACTTCAAACTACAAATCAGAAAGCCACAAAACGCAAAGAGAAGGTCATTCCATAAAAAGATATAGGTGATATCGTGGGAGTACGAAGAGCGCGATAAACCGAAGGGAGATCCGAAGATCAGTGGGAAAATGAAGAGTAGAGAGCCAACTCGTTGCCACCAGAGAGAGATCAGAGGGAAGATGGAAAGAACAAAGACAACTCGTCGCCACCATAGAGAGTCGCGAGAGAGACGTGCGAGAGAGAGAGAGGACCGATCGAGAGAGATGAGGGCAGAAGAACGCAATCGCGATCAAGACAGATGAGGCAGAAGAGAAGAACGTGGGGTGATGACCTCATTCACAATCAAGTAGAATGTAAACGTAGCCAACAGGGACTATTAACGTAATAATGATAGGATAAAACGTCAAGACCTGTGTTTAATGAAAATTATCGTAACAAGCCGCAACACCGCACTTTCCAAACACAATTGCCTGTGGTTTCTCACCGCGCTGTGATGAAAAAGCTACCACAAACGGGGCATCAAATTGTAACACAAATATAGCATCAAATCTATAAACTCAATTACAGCCTTAATGGCATGAAAAATGGTTTCCATAACATGTCTTTATAAATACGAGGCAAAAATACGAATAGACTGACATTTTCCTCGATTCTCTCTACAAAGATTTCAGATTTATTCTACTCTCTTACTTCTCTCCTTCCCTATCCACAAAGGACAAACTAGGATCCAATAAACATATATGAAAAAAATCAAAGTTTAGGTGTTAGTTATATTAATTGATGAGAATTGAGTGGTATGTATGTAAATCTTCCTTTCATTATTTACATGATTTACAGTTCTATTTTACAACAAAAGAAACCAGCTGCCTCTTGTCCTAAACAACAACAACAACAACAACAATAATAACAATAATAATAATAATAATAATAATATAAACAAGAATTTGTGATTTTTGTTTTGTACAGATCAATATGTAATCAATAGAACAAGACAAATCCTGATCTCCTTTGGTATTTTTCTATCCATGACCATGGAACCGACAGAAGAATCTTTCCACCTGTTCAAAACATCAGTTTAGTTGTCCAGAGCTAAGCTCAATGATTAAAACCAAGCTAATAATAGAAATTTTTTTTGATGTTATGTCCTTAAATATTTTTTAAAGAATTCTAAAAATAAGGAGCAATTTCATACATAATATCTAAACTTCCACTAATTACAAATCTAGCGCCCCTCAACCTCCATCTTTCAATTTTCCACCCAAATATATAATCTCAACATAAAATGTATAAAAATATATAAATATATAGATATTATTCAAATGATCAATGATTAAGTACCAAAAGATTTGATTTAGTGTGCAATGAGGCAAAAAAATATGTTAAAGTTCAAGTTAAAGGTATGAATTCAACATAAATATCAAGGTTGAACACATAATATCTAATTTGGCAGTAACAACAAATTGACTAACTTTATCAACATCATTATCAACATTAGTAGAACCTTTAGGCTCCTATAGGCACAAAACATAGACCCAGAGTTTTGTATTTTGACTTGATTGATTTTTGGGTTGGGGCAGAGAAAATTAATTTTATCAACAATTGTTTAACAAAACTTATTTACAAATGAACTCTTCTTGATTTCAATTCTTTCAAACCTTCTCATTTAATTGTGGACCAGTCCCTTCTTATATGGTCAGGCTAATGACACCAATAACAAGTGTTGAACCCCACAATTTTCCTTCAACGCAGACGAGAAGAGAGAAAAATTCTTTAACAATTAAAATTAGTTGTGTGGCATGATTGTATAACAGATTTATCTCTTGGCACTAGTCAAAAAAAATTATGTTGCATCAGCCTACATGTAAAAAGAGATGCAAATGATTTTGAAAAAATTTCACAAAATCCTCCCAATAAATTAGCACATTGAATCCATCCCCTAACTTGTCCATACATCCATTATGACTCCACCTTTCCGCTTATCCATCTAACACATACATAGAAAGCGATACCTTTCTTTTCTTGGGACAAGACATACACCTACTTGTCAAATTGGATTTTCAACCAATCGTCAATCAAGTTAATAGTCTATTCACAGCCAGAGATGTTGTCATATGCATAAGTATATCTTGAAAGAAAAAACTCAAATATTTTCGGATTGAGCATATCCTGAGAGAAGATAACCAATTCACGGACATTTTATCAATAGAGAAAATCTCTGAAATAGATGGTTCATGACGCTGCGCCAACCGGTCATAGAAGAACCTGATGTACTAAGCACCAAGTTTGAATTAATTTTGGGTTGGATCGATTCAATCAATGAATATTTAACAACACAGGTTAGCCCTTCAAACGTCAAAGATTCAAGAAACTTCAATTTTATTATGTGCCAGAAAATTCACGGCAGTAGAGTGATAATCTAACGTCATAGCGTTGTACTAAAATCCAACACACAGATAAAAAAAAAAAGTGAAAGGAGACACCAAGATTTACGTGAAAAAAAAATCATATAAATGAAAAAAATCATGAGATTTAGTCCGGCCAAAGTAATCAAGTTTCACTCCTCCTGAATTAAATAATAATCACATATGTACAATAGCAATTTAGTTATAATTGACATAATTGGGCTATAAAAAATATAATTCTTGGCTATAATAGCAATAGCTAGCCACATACTTAGATGATGGTTGTAATAATAATAATTGGTCACATAGGTCAAAGTCATAAGCTATAATAGTAGTAGTTGGCTAAAGAAGCTATAGTTAAAAAACTATAACAGTAGTAGTTGGTCACAAATGCTGTATTTGGTTGCTACAAATGCAATACTTGGTTATAAAGGCTTAGTCGGTGACTGTAATAGCGGATTGCCAATAGAGACCATAATTGAAAACTGTAATAACAAAAATTGGCCACAAAAAGTTGTAATTGCTAAAGTAGCAATAGTTAGTCATAGAGGCCGTAGTTAGAAACTGTAATTGCATTAATCGGTCACAAATGATGTAGTTAGTTGCTACAAATACAGTAGTTGGTTATAAATATTGTAATATGTGGTTGTAAGTAGTAATTGTTCATAGAGGACATAGTTGAAAACTATAACAACAGTAGTTAGCCAAAATATCATAATTGGTTACTACAAAGATATTAGTTGGTTGTAAAGATTATGGTTGATGGCTGCAGTAGCAGTAGTTTGTCACATGGCAATAGCAGTTAGCCACACTACAACAGCTGCAAGAAGTGGTCACCGACAGCTGGTGGTCGACAGGAGTAGGTGGTGACGACATGTGGTAATTGATGATGGCCGACGAACGGTAGTCGATAATTGCAGACGAGCGGTGGCCGACGGCTACAGAGACCAATGGTTACTCGTTCGGTCTTCTCCATATCAGACTCTCTAATTTCAGCTTCTCTTATTCGCCTAAGTGAAGAGAGTCTATTTTAGCATTTTGAGTGGTGGTGTTTTGGTTTTTTAGCACATAACTTCCCTAACCACCTGATCGAACGGTATATGTTGATCCTCCCTAATCATATGTGACTTTTTTAATGATCGGGTGTCTTAATGATCTCATAATTTAGTGATCTTGGAATTGTTAGATTCTTGTTGAGAAATTTGATCCAGCCAAAATATGTTAAATTATGGAGAATAGAACTTGAAATATTAGACATTTCCACTAGACTAAACCATATTGAGCGTCTTAATTTTATAAGCCATTTGGTTAGATCTTGGATTGATTTGAGTTTAAGCTTAACAAGTTGGTATCATAGTAAAATTTAAGATTTATCAAAATGAGAGTTGCCAATGTGAATATTGAGAGATTTAACAGTAAGACTGATTTCTCGATTTGAGGAAGCATGTGAAAGCCATTCTAGTTCAAATATAAGTGGGTAAGGCTTTGGAAGGAGATGATTGTTTGCCAAACACTTTAGATGCAGATGAGAAAGCAAGGATCATGAAGTTAGCATATAGCATGCTAGTGTTGTAACTTAGCGACCAATTAATACGTGACATCGATAAAGAAATGACAGATGTTGGAATTTGGTTGAAGTTGAAACAAATGTATAGGACGAAAAATTACAAAATATAATTTATTATAAAATAAAATTAGTTGGATCTAAGATTTCTGCAACCAGGAGCGTGAAGGATAATATGGATGTTTTTAATAAAATTGTCATGGACTTGAAAATCTTCGAGTTAAAGTTGACGATGAAGATTAGGCCATTATTATCTTAAATTCATTGTCAAAATCGTATGCACAGACAATGAAATATGTTGGAGACCGTCTTTGGAGGAGATTCAGACGACTTTGAAATACAATGAGATTGAAAAAAAAAAAAATTGAACAAAAATCAGAGGGAGCTCTGGGATTGAATGTTAAAGGTAGATCAGAGAAAAAGGAAAGAAACAAGAAAAATTCCAAGTTGGGATCCACATCTAAAACTAAGGATCTGTTTGGGGCAGCTGTTGATTATTTATAATCTGCTGATAAGCAAATTATTTGATCATCTGCAAATTATCAGAATAAGCTGGCTTGCTGTTTGGGACAACTTATTCAGAATAACTTATTGGTAGTTATGGCTGTATAAATGACCTTCTTACCTCTGTCTGGTAAAACTGTTTGGGGCAGCTTATTTAGATAACTTATTGGTGATACAGAAGCATATAGTGCAGAAGCATAAAATCAACACAAATCAGTTCCAAAAGATGACATACAGTTCTCACTCTCATGGGTATCAGAAAAAATAAAAAAGGATAAAGACAAGTACAACTACAATGAGATATATTAAAATATTCAATTTCAAACTCTGACTTAGTATGTCCTCAGATGCACTATCAGTCTGAGAAAACATGGGATTCTCATCACTGCTAACAGTGTAACAAGTGGGACTATATTCTGCCAACCTTTTTTATTGAAATAGGTGGTTGGTCTATTTCCGATCTCAATCTCGGTGATACAGAAATTGCAGAAAATATTTATAACTTCTTTATCACACATCGCTGACGGACCACCTTCATTTGTCTTAGCCATGGTGAAAATATATGAAGAATTGCATATGCATAAGGAAAATCATACTGTAAATCAACATGCATAAGAAAATTGTTGAAGAAATAATTGCAGAAGCATAAAGCTAATTATGTACATAGTTATATATATATATATATACATAATGACATAAGAATTATGTGGTTCGGTCAAAAACCTACATTCAAAGAAAGACATCGAACATGTTTTATCATGCAATTGTGTAAGGTTACATAGCTATAAATCTCAAGGGAGAACAATACAACATGCTCCAGCTAACCCGATGTGCTAATAAAAGTACCTCAACTAACAAATAAAAGTAGCTAACCTTATACCAATGTCAAGCATATTCATGAATGCTAATTTAGCAAGCCAGTTTTTTCTCTTTATATTTTTGAGTTCACAACATTCAATGAAAGAGATATTCATGAAGCTATTACAGGCTTCATCCTGTTGTTGTACCAAAATATTCATGAAGCTATTACAGGCTTCATCCTGTTGTTGTACCAAAAAGGAAATGTTGCAATGTCGTGCTTCATCCTGTTGTTGTACCAAAAAGAAATGTTGTAGTGTTTTTGGAAGGTTTTTTAGATTCAGGGAATAGGATCTAGTCTTGCCGTTTCGAATATGATATAAAAATAGCTAATGCTAACTTCTGATCCTCATTTTGACAGCTATAAAAGTGTCAAAAATGATTGTATAAATGAAGATGATCTTTTTCCTTGCTACTGCTATATTACTTAATACTTTTCCAAATTCAATTAAGGGCAAGCACAAAAATATCACCCATATATCAGCAAGAATACCACCGTTTGAACCTTTAAAAATAGAAAATGCACTTTCTATTTTATCCAAAAAGGTTAGTAGCATGATTAGAAATAACTACAAAAAACTGCAATAGGCTAAGCTAGCCCGTAAATTTTTCTAAACACTATTTGCCACCCCCAACTTAAGAGAATTTATCGGTACAAGTACATAAGTGGCCATTTTTTACACTGACATTTGAGATGATTCATTTGAAACCAAAATGGTTGTTTCAACAG